TGAGTAGCTCAGATGCAAAAGCCACTAACTGCATGATAAGCGAAACAGATAACGAAAAACTCGCCCCATCCAAACTATTGAAGTTCAAAAACTTCCATCTTTTTTCAAAACAACTAAAGAATAATTATTTACTTAGTATTAATGGTTGAATCTGAGATTATGTTTTATAAGCTAAAATATAAAGTGAAATATTGGCTTAGCGGTTTTTGTTCCAGATTTAGGGGTCGACCATAAATTACGTAACGCCAAAGAGAAGGAGAGGGTTTGAGACAGCGTTATGATGTGTTACAGAGGGGAAGGGGGGTATTTTCTCGACAATTTTTTATTGAATGTTTAAGATTACGAAGATAAGATTCAAAGCTGACATGTTAATGTAGTATATTCTAGAATTCATTTAATTCGGCGCTGTAGACTGTTGCTCATGCATCATCCATGGCGGCATATGCACGACTTGTGATCATTTTCTCGCCTAAGCGTCCTTCCTTCAACTTCCATGTCTTATTGTTAGCATCGACAACTAATTTCTACTTTATCATTAATTTTAATATACAACACGAGTGAAAAATGCAAATTGTTTCTACCGTGCTATAATTTATTTCACGTGTTTTGCATTTCCAAGGGAGGGGGTGTTGTCGCAAGCGTTACGTATTTATTCGGGGGGGGGGGTGCACCTGTCACGGGTGCGTTACAAGGGGGTATTAAAAATAGGGAGTTTGTTTAAACTGGTCCTTCGTAATATTAAACTAGATTAATATTAATATTAAGAGAAGTGGGTGAATGAACACTTGTAAGGGATAGACACTGTCAATGTTGCGAGGTTGCGCACCTCTTCTCATTATACAGGGATCCAAAGCTCACCAAATAAAATAACTTAATAGGTACAATTAAATTTGTTCAAAAAATGTATTGCCTCGACCGGGACTCGAACCCGACACGGCCTTCTGGTTAATAGGTACATATATTAAACAATACTAATACCTAAATGAAATATCACATTGTGTGAATCAGAGCCAATAGATAATTGCAGCAGCTCAATCTAGAGTGATTACTTTCCTCATTAAGTAAGCAAACATTACACAATATTTACCATATTCACATATTATTATTACTGGAAATGAAATACAAATTAATAAAATACACTATTAGCTCACATGTAATTCACAAACAATTCAAATTGAATTAGTTTTCAAATTTGAAACATATTTTGTTCAAAAACGGGGGGGGGGTCGAGTTGAACATTGGGGGTTAACTAATGAGGGGTAACCACTGAGTCACCCTTCATTTGAATGAAATGTTTCTTTCCATTATAACTTACTTCTCTAGTGTGTCTATAAACTTTCTTAACCCTTAAAGTGCAAGGTAGGGTGGGATATGACCTGAGATTGTAGGAGTATTTTCAAATTGGAAAAGTAAATGAAATGTTAATAATTTGTATTTAAAATTACATTGCGTAAATCAAACAATAAATTACATTTAGAAACAAACAACATAAGAATCATGATCACACTCTTCGAAAAAAAGGTTTCAGAAAATTCTGTGGTCACAACAAAAAATTTACATTTTATCTCATCTGACTCAAGAGCCAGAAAAAGCAAGGACAAAACATTTTGTGCTCTCCACATAGAGATTTACTGCATTTTTGAAAATTTCATTTCCTTTCCAGTCTTTTGTCTTGTCACAAGTTGCATCTTTTCTTCTTCTGGGGAGTTAAGTTATTTCTACAGCGTTTCTTTTTTTCTCTTTCTTGTGCTTGTATTTCTAGCACCTTACAAATAGTAGCCCAAAGTTCTCATGGTAGATATGCATTTTCAGTTCTTTTTTGCATTAATACTGTCATCAAAGCCAGTGCTACTTTCTTTGAAAAATTTGAGTAAGCATCATGTGAATAAGAACAACTTTTGAAGATCCATTTGTAAAGGATAAACCTGTTCACTGCAGCAATGTCTAAAATCCCATAGAAACATCACAAGGGCCAGCACCTGCTCTTTCTTTTCATTGTTTTGACATGACAAAGTGTGTGCCTAAAACAACAATTGTGCTTTGTGCCCTTTGTGATGCAGAATTCTATAACTTTTGCTATTTTTGTGATCTTATTCACTTGACCAGAAAAGTGTATCATAATACTTCGTTTTTCTCAGGAGAATGACACCATAATTTTGTCGTACTGGAACAGAAAATTTTTTAACAACCCCACTGGTATGGACGACAACATGGAAGGCAGAATTTGCTGTTTATTTTCCATAGAGTACCCACAAAAATCAATTTTCTCTTGCTCAATTCTTCAACTACTTCGTAGAAAGAAACCCAATTACCTGTGGTCACATTTCTGTTCCTTCCATTTAATGATTCTGAGCAGCAATATATACTGAGCTGACAAAGATAAATACTCCATTTTCTTCTTGTTTTCTTGGTCACTGCATGAAATGCCACCTATGAAGTAAAAATGTTCTTAAGTCACAAAGTAAAATTATCTTTGGGAATGTACATTTGAACAGAAATCTCCTACAGAAACTAAAACTGGTCTCATCAACAGTGAATCATTCAGATGGGATGTAGTATTTTGCATAGTATTCTACAAAAGAACTTCACTTGCTCCTTCATCATCAAATCTTAGGTTCATGAGAAGAAAATCGAATCTTCTTTTTTTTGACATAGAGCTTCGGAAAACATGTGGACCATACATAGGAGAAAACACATCTGTGTTATCTAAACCTATATTTTTCGAAAGCCACTCATGAACAACAATCGTATGAAGGATTGTATCGCCAAGGCTTCAGTAAGAGTTTAGTACCACTGAACAGCTGTGTATAGTCATTTCGATTTATCAATTTGATTGCTGGTATAATTCATGATTGTATCCATCACTTTTGATGTCATAGTCAATGAAAATAACCATAACTCTTTCACTCTTCCTCTAGCACTTTTAGGCCCAGGCAAAAGAATGACAATGTTTGCTGTGCTCATCTTCAAAAATTTACTTATCTAATGTGTTTGTCCAGATAGTCTCATTATCCCTGCCCAAATCAAAAGCCTTGTTATCACCATTATGTTCCTCAATTCTGTATCCTACTTCCACTGAATCGGAAACATTGACCTATCATTAGGTAAAATTTTATTACCTGGTGCAGAGGAAGTTTTTAGCAAATTCATAATCAGACTCCTGTTCACATAAATTACCTCGGCAAAAGCTCGGCTCAGCAAAAATTACCTCGGACATCGAAAATGTTCTAGCAAAGTCCAACACAGAATTGCTATAAGGAAAAAAATATTTACCTAAATTGGAAAATATATAACACAAACAGTAACGCGGGTTGAAACCAACTCTACCACAAGCACGCCTAACTTTAAACAAATACTGTAAGTACATAATATATACTTGCGCAATGTAGTTGCAACGGTGTTCAGCAAGATTGATCTAAAGGGTTCCAGAGCATGTGACCTTGGGACAAAAAGTATGGAAGAAACGCTTATACCACTTTCCCACAGGTCGCATCTTACCTGCACCTTGCATTAGAGAGTTAATCCACCAAGGCCTTGTAACAAAGTCGTTATGGCAACATCCGTTAGCTGTGTGATCTAACTAGTACTATGTATTCTAACCACTATGCAACTTCATTATCGTAATCCTTCGCAGTCTTCTCCCTGCCTGAAGATACATATGAGTAACTGTAACTGCCCAAGTGCCAGAGGAGAAAGCTTTGAAACAAGCCCATGGATTGCTATGTGAACATCACCAAACCTCCCTAACAATACCAAGGTTCTAGCACCACCATGGGCTTATGAGCTACCAGTGGCAGCACACACTTCTTGGCCGTAATGGGTTTATGAGCCACTGGGCTTTTAAATAGTAGAGGCTACAGTAAAGGTTCCAGAGGCTGCAAAAAGGCAGTGAAATGACTGAGGGTAGGGAGCTCAGCTTACAACCGAAAGGTTCAAGTACATGTGAAATGTTGATAATGGTGGTGAACTTTTTAAACCCATAAGCTCATTGTCAAAATTTGTTCAAACACATTTACTTGTACCCCCCCCCCCCCCCAACCAATTTGTGAATTTCATTTCTTTGATAGTCAGAGAGATCCTACATGAAATTTATAAGCAAATATTGACATGCCTGAAAGCTAGACCGATTTGGCCAAGATCACTAAAGCATTGTACGCTTCTGGCCAGGGTGTATTCACAACTGCATAGCTGCTTGTGCCTGTGGTTAAGTCGAAGGGAGAGGTCAAATTAAAGCAAAGAGCAGTTGGTCTAATGAGCTGACAGAGAATAATCAGCTGAGGGCATTGCTTTGCAACTTCTTTCAGAAAAAAAATTCTTATATAACCATTGGTTGGCACTTTGGAGCACTCCAGTAGTATATTTTAGTAACATAACAAAGGTTTAGTGCTAAACGTTGCAAAAATATACTACCAGAAAGCCCCAACAATGACTGCCTGCATAGGTGTGACAACAATGGGCGAGCGCTATGTGCACACAATTTTGTTGAGAGTTGAGGCAAGTATCATCCTCTCCTTCTGTTTCAATATCATACATACTCGGTCTCCCTTATGTCCTAACCCATAAGAGACTGAGATTGACACAGAGGGAGAGGATAAATCTGTTGTGGACAACCAGATTTAAAAACACTACATTTGCCAAAAATTAAACTCAAATCTGATGGCCTCACAAGCTCTTAGAGCTTTCCTCAAAATGATTAAAAAGTGGACTTTGCAACCTTTGAATATATGCCCTTCATTTACAGAGTGAAACAGGTATTTGATGGAAGTTAACAAATGTAACAAGTCTCTCTATTGCTTCATTGGGACACGTATTTTCTGCTTCTGTTAATAAATTATTATTTATGCGAGAGCAAGTGCATAGCAAGAGCAGAGGGGAGGCCTAGTGTATAAAAAGTACATTCTATAAACGTTCATTATCATAAGACACAAGGCATAGTAGAGCTAAAATACGCAAATCAAATGAGTAAAACAAGCTACCAGTTAATGAGCTTCAATTTGAAGCGAGAAAATCGAGTATCTATGCCTGGAATATGCATTTCATATTCAAATAGCACTAATGATGGACATAAAGGGATTTATTCAGAGAAGGGTCAAATTTATACAGGTGTAATGTTATTAGCATTAATATGAACAAATAATATTTTTTTATACTACTCCAAAGATTGAAACAAATTTTATAATCAAATATTTGAACATTTTATTGAAAATCCTGTACAGATGACACAACAATGCTCAAGTCTAGAATTTAAATAATTTTTACATCACAGATCATTACACTATTTAGCCTTCATTCCCCAACTGCTTGAACTTTCCAAGGTTGTGAAGATTTTTTCTTTCCTTTATTCTTTTTTACCCCCTTTTTCTTTTTCAATGGGCCACCAACTTCAATGCTCTTAGAAACCATTTCCTTTGCAGTTTTCCATGTATCATCAGTAAATACTTCATCGGTTGCAGGGAATTTATATGACACTTGACCCTTTGTTTTCTCTTGGTTAATTTTTTGGTTTAGCTTATGAACATACTTTCCACCAGCAGCTTTTCTCACTAGTTGTCGAAGCTAAAAGAAAAACAAACACAAAATCATAAGAATTGTATAAAACGATCATTTAAAAAAATATATATATAAAATCCTGGAATTAATAAAATAATGCATCAACTAAAAATGTAGTCTTTCATGATACAGAAATGTAACTTAATCACAAATTAACAAATCAATTAATTGTAATCAAAAATTTCAGAAAAATATAAAACAAAAACCTGTCAATGTCGAAACCTTCAAAAACGTATTCCTGACTTGCTGAACAAAAATTTCTAGGTAGTACAATTTTACTTGAAAACAACCCCAAGTGATTATAACCTTGGTAAAAGGAATCTTCAAAAACATCCCAACATAATCCTTTTTCCGTGCTTCCTAAGGATGTAAACTAAATTGAAACTTAATAGTCTATTTTGCTAGTAAGTTCTTTTCTATATGGAAAATGTTTTGCTCCAATAAGACAAAGTGCAATATATTTAGGGTGAAAACTGAGTTGTTTCAAGCCAGTGACAGATTTTTGACAGGTTTAAAACAATTCAGCATTGCTTTGTAAAATGTATTTTTCTGACAGCCAAATGAGTTGGAATATCAGCTGATGTTCCTAGGCTCAGTTCAGTGTGTGCAGTCATTGTTCATTTCCACAAGTGATATGAAAATTAATTTTATCACTAAAATTAAGTCAGAATTTTTCTATATCATGTTGAAAAGCAGATGAGAATATTTGTATGTATGAATTAAGTCATCAAACATACGGGCCAAAATCACCAATCTCAAGATTGTTGTCAATTTATGTCATGCTTTTAATGACACTTGTAATGGAGTTAACTTTCAACCAAAGAAAAAGCATGCACATAGTAATTAGTTCATAAAACTGAAATCTTGAATTGCATTTTCCTTCAATTCCAACAAAACAAATACATAGTGTTTTTATGTGAACATTCTCCCTTGGACAGAATAACAAAATAATGAACATCTCTGATCTGGCACAAGTATGCCATGAAATTAATGCGAGTAGTTTCTACGTGTTACTCACCAACCACATCACAATTTATTTTGGTTTAAGCAAGGGTGAAATTAATTATTAATAAGACTGAACCAATTATGATTGTATTGGAAGTTCAAAATTTATAATTCAAGGCCTCTCCATGTTTCTCCAAAATATGGCATGTGCATAAAAAATACACATCTTCACTTTTACTAACTATAACCGAACACTAGCACACATTTTGCTCACACTGGATGAAGACGACCTTGATGGTCTTAACTCAAATGATGTGCAAGTGTGATAAGTGTAAGTATTCATTTGATTAAACTTTAGTGTTTATATTACAAAACCGGTTAATAATAAGGAAGTGATAACACATTCGGGATCCACTACCTTTTATTTAAAGCAAAAACGAAGCAATTTTGGTGGGTAGAAAGCTCTCAAAAACCTTTAGTGTTTTAAATACATTAATATGCTTAGGCACTAAAACTAGCATTTGCCCAAGTAAAAAACACCACCATCACCAACAACAACAAAAACTCAACAAATTACCTTTGCAGGTGTCACATAATGAGGATTTTCCCATATTGTTTCTCCACCAAAACTCTTATCAAATATCTTGACAGGATTCATTACAAATCGAGGGCCTGAAAAAATGAGTAGTCAATATTGATGTTCTAATCACAAAATGAACTTCTATTCCTGTAAATGTAACATACCAATTTCTACTAGAGCTCCATCTTCAGAGAGAATCTGATAATTCCGGAACCAAATTCTTTTGTCCAAGACAGAGAACGTGAACACATGATCAAAAAAGGGTTGACTTTGTGGGTGGTGATTTGGTACTCCAAATATCTGCAAAAAGTATTAGCAAAATCAACAATAAAATTAAATACAATCTCAAAATAAATAAAAAACTTAATAATCAAATTTTTTTAAAATCAAAGTTTAAAGAAACTACTGACACTTCTTATATAATTTTTCACTCATTTCACACAACATGCATTTCTTTCCCTTTAAGCCTTTACATCTCCTTCAAACAAAAAATATTGAAGAGTTAAAGTTTTAAAACTATGGTGAAAAAACCTAACAATCTGATGTTGATACTTAACAGAAACAGAGTACATTTATTACTTTTGCCTACAGGGAAGTACTCAAAAACCATATAGTAACCATGAATGCAGATCAACAGAAGTCGTGTTTTAAAAAATAAATTCAAAAGACTGAATATTACAAAAGATAACACTCCCAGAACTAAATATTGAATATCAATGACTAACAAATGTTTTTGTACATATCATGTTTACTTCAGAGGCGTATCTGCCACCACAAGTGCTGTTCAGTCATAATAGCTCATAAAATGTTAAGGTTTTACACTATACAGTATTTTTGTACAAGTTGAAAATTGCAATGATTACAACCTGAATAAATTGAAATTGATGGCTCTCATGAATACAGTGTGGTTATTTGTGGTCTCACTTTGTTATTACATTCAAAATTCCATTCCACCATCCATCCACCCCAGCACATTTCATTCCACCTCCCATTCAAGATTTAAAATTAAAATAATATTTATTTTTTTAAAAAAAACGTGTAATATTATAGTAAAAACATAAATTTTAAAATAACCACAAACTTCAAGACACTTATTTCAATTACTTCTCAGGGCACACTACAGCACTATATTTTTACCAGACTAAGACTATATAAGTGCAAAAGTCAAGTGAGACATTTACAAATGAACAAATGAGGGAGACAAATTGTCATCACTGGTAAGCACATGATCAGAACCTTTCAGATATGTTGCCAGCAGTAGCTGTCCTCCTTAGTCTAACTTCTCTATACCAGGCATTTGGTATGGAATTGCCAACACAAGCTCTCAGCTAGTTGAGTTTCTTGTAAGATACCTTTACCAGAAATCTTAATCCCTATTTGCAAACTATCAAATGCTTCATTTGTGTCAAAGACAATGCAGCAACCCACACTTGCCCGAAGCCCAATTATGCATTCAGTTGAACATGTGGTATTTTACAGTCCATTTCGAGGTGGAGAGTGTCATAAATAGAGGGCGGATTTTAATAAAGTGTCTTTTTTTCTTTTTATTTTAGAACAAATCCTTTTAGTGTTAACATTAATTTTATGTTCTGACAAAAGAAAATGGCTCGTTTTTATGACATTCTTATGCATTTTTCATCAATTTCCACTAGTAGGTTATTTTTTTACTCTTTCAATTCATATTTGAAGTATTTTTCGCTGATATTATATTTAATATCATTTTAATGGTACTTGCTTCAAATAACATCTACAAGATTCCTTAAATATTCTCCGTAGGATTCCGGAGTAGCTTATTAGATTTCTTCGCTCAAAAATTGTAATGTCAGCCGTTGTATGTAATCTAAGAAATATAATCACGGAAACTCACACATGCCACCCAACTGACAATCTCAAAGTATGATTCTTTGGAGAATAAATTTTTCGTAAGAATAGAGAGAAAGAGACTTACACAGAGGCATAGGTTTGATTTCTACTGTTCACTCTGAATTTTTGGAAATCGCAAAACTTTGAAATTTTTTGAACCCCTTCAAACTACAACATTAAAGATAGAGATTTTTTTCTTCAAATACATTTTGTTCTCCACGATTAACATGTATCATGTATATTTTTGGAAAATATTATTTTTCTGTTAATTTTGAGTATGGGCAATTTTAATAATATTTAATAATATAATGTAATTTTAATAATATAATGTTAATTAGTTTTAAGAAAAATTTTCATCAGAAAGTGTGGTCATGATGGTCATTAACACTGAAGAGAAAATTTATTTGCATTGTTGCCGCTAAAAAGAATAGTGACAAAGTAATTACAATACTCAATAGAATGATGCAAAACACATGTCAGGCCACAGGCATAGATAGGTATGTTTTAGTTACATTATTAGTTTTATCAATTTATTACTGATGCATAACGTTTACATGTTTAAAAGAAGAATGGTCATGACTCGCTTTGTGAGATAACTGATTGGGTCAGGTGAGTCAAAGTACACTTAAGGTTGCAGGTTCAAAACCCACACAACACGCAAAAGCCCAGTGTTCATGGTGTGGGAGACCTGGTGATGCACCCAAATTCCTAATAGTTTATTAATATCTTGGTTGGACAGGCAATTGTGTTTTGAATGTAATTAAGGAACTGCATCCCTACACCCAAAAGAAAAATATAGCCAAAAGATACCAGGGACAAATAATAAGTGAAGACACAGGAAAGAATTAGGTATATCCAATGTACAAGGAATGTCCCCTCAGGAGCGGTAGATACTGCCTTGGTAGGTCTTTTAAGCACCGACAGGTAGCAATTGTATAAAATCGAAGCTACTAAGTTAGGGCCAAATTTTAGTTTAATCAATCACCATACCTGAACTAGCAATTCCTTTATTAAGCGGTAATGTAAAATATTTTCAAAGTTCTCATCAAATGAGAGGAGTGGTCTGGATCCGACCAGGCAATTTCCAGTAAACTTCAACTCATCCATGGTATAAACTAAAAAACATAAGAATATATTTAATACTACAATAACATTTCAGGGATATATTAATAGGTTAAAATTTACTTTAGATTGGCCACTCTATTCGAGGGAGCAATGTATGTTTTGAATTTTAGTATTTTGTCATAAAAATAAATAAAGGCTACCCAAAATAACTTTATTGGGTACCCAAATTAACTAAATATTTATATAACTTAAACTTTCCCTTGGTAATTAAAAACACAAAATTTCGAGGCATACTGATGTTAGAATACTTCTATGGAAAATGTGTGTTGCTTTGCACACTGTGGCCACAAACCAATCTTAAGCCTCCTTGACTTGCATAAATCAACTTAGTGTCAGGCCAAAGCAGAATTGTCAATGCATTTCTAAGACATAAAATAAATAAGGTACATGCTTCCAACAGCGCAAGCAAATGGAGTTGCCAATCTAGAGCAAGTTCACATTAGGAAGTTAATAATAATGATTACATAAAATGTAAACATACTATTTTGAAGAAAGAATTTTACAGATGGTCCATCAGGTACACGGGAAATCCACATATACACATCTCGATTTGCACGTCCTTCAAATAATATACATTGGTTACAATGCTTCATTGTGCAGACCTACCCAAAAATACAAATTATAATACAGAACAGTAATCCAATGCAATATAGAATTAAGCAAGGCCAACTTACCTCATTTACAACAGTTAAATTTTCTCTTCTTTCCATTTTGTTTTCTTTTTTTGAATGTGGCAACAATCTTCGTATGTCTTTCATTAAATGTCGATCCCTTGTACCAATACCACGACAACCAAAGATAAGGAGTCTTTGTCTGTTTTTCCAATGTACCTTTAAATACAGAATAGTATGAAAATTTGAAAATTAATACAACATATTATAGAAATCTACACAAGAGGTAGAAGAAAACTAACTTTCTTGGGAATTGGATCATCAGACCATCTTGACACAGGAAGAGCTTCTTCAATTTCCTTTTCATTTACTTTCAACTCCTTTTCTTTTTTTTTATTCTTTTTATTTTTTTTGGTTTTAACACTGACTTGGTTAAGAGTAACCTCTGTCTTTGAAGCCACCTCATCTTCTTTTGGCGTACTTTTAGTAAATATATTATTCGAAAAATGCGAAGAATTTGCTGCCTTCTTAAGATGTTTCAAATGCTTCACAATTTCTTTATTAGATACTTCAATGTTACCATCATCTTTTACCGAATGTATCACGTTTTGAACACGCTTCGCATTTTGATTAGAATTCAGCACCAAATTGGCAACATTTTTTGTTTTCTTCACTTTTCCATGTTTCACTTTTAATAAGTCAGTTTTTGCTGTTTTCTTCCCACTAGTATTCTGTATTGCCTTCAACTTAACCATATTTTATTCTCCCACGTGCCACTGTTTCACTACCTCGTCAAACGCAAGATGACTAAAGCAAAGAGTAAACAGCCAGAATCGAAGCTCATGTGCTGAATTAGAGAGTACACAGTACGGTACGGATCAAAGAGTACTATAGAGACGTCCAGAATTACGTCACAACGTTTGGCGGGAAAGTGTTGAGAGGTAACCTCTGCTGTGAGCGTAAGCGAGTCCTAGAGAATTACCAAGTTTTAGCATATGCGACATCTTTTCAGAACAGTTAAAACATGCTGGCGGGAAAGCAGTTACATGGTTAACGAATATGTTCAATTCTTGTCTCAAAACCAACCGAATTCCAAAACTGAAGAAAATCTAAAGTGATTGCCTTGCTAAAACACGGAAAACCTGCGAATAACTCAAAAAGTTACCGCCTAATATCGCTTGTATGTCACACGTACCAGCAGTTCGAAAGGATTCTGTTGACCAGACTAACCCCCATCATAGATGAGAAACTCATTCTAGAACAGGCAGGATTCAGACCGAGGCGATCCTGTACGGGACAGCTTATTAACCTAACCAAACACATAGAGAACGGCTTTCAAAAAGGTTTCATAAAGAGTGTGGTCGACCTGTCATTCGCCTACAGCACCGTCAATGTACGCAAGTTACTAGCCAAGTTATACCACCTAACCCGAGATTTTAACTTTGTCCGCATTACAGAAGCCCTCCTTAGTAACAGGCGCTTTATGGTCTCCATGATTAACAAGAACAGAGGGTGGCGCAATCTTAAAAATGGCCTGTCCCAGGGCAGTATCTTGCCCCCCACACTCTTCAACATATATACCAATGACCAGTCCATCAGCCGGTACTGCCGTTCCTCTATTTACGGCGACGACCTCGCTCTGTCATCTCAGTCAATTTTGCAATGGTAGAAAAAAATCCTCACTGAAGCTTTAAACAAGCTTTCTTGCTATTACAAAGAAAACGATCTGAAGTCGAACTCGGCTAAAACTGAAGTATACGCATTCCACCTTCGCAACAAGCAAGTTTCAAGGAAACTCCAAGTACGGTGGTGCGGCGAACTCCTCGCACACAATCCCGAGCCCCGGTACCTTGGAGTCGTTCTCGACAGGAGCCTTACATACAAGAGACACTGTACTAACACTAAAATGAAAGTTGAAACTCGCAACAACATTCTCAGAAGAGTGTCTGGATCTAATTGGGGAGCTGACCCCAGAGTCCTCCACCTATCCGCTCTGGCCCTCTGCAACTCTGCAGGTGAATACGCCACCCCAGTTTGGCATAAATCCACCCATGCCAAGAAGTTTGACACCGCCTTGTATCAATCCTGCCGCCACGTGACAGCTGCCTAAAGTTCACAACTGTGTTCTTTCGGCCATCGCCTTTCCAAAAATCCGCAGGGAGATTTCCTGCAGAGCGGAAAGAAGTCGACAGGCCAACGACAAACGCCACCCTCTGCTTGGTCAATCTCCTGCCCACCAAAGGCTCCGTTCCCGCAAACGTTTCCTTCAGACCAGTGCCCCTCTCCAGAAACCAGCCGAGCAGGAAAGGCTTGACCTGTGGATGGACGAATGCCGCTTATCAGGCGACTTCATAAATCCATTTTAGTCCCTGCCTCGAGGTTCCGAACAACCGTGGACCATATGGAGAACTCCAAACAGACTGTGTACGGGTGTTGGTGGATGCAAAACAACATGCAAAAATGGGGATTCTCGGCCCAGAATGACTCAGCGATGTGCTCTGGCGGTGCTGAAGAGACGGTGGAACACCTACTTTCCTGCCCGGACTGCCCTAATGTATCCAGAGATGACCTGGCCCTAGAAAACCAGAGAGCCTTTGCTCTCTCTACTTACCTGCAAAACAATTTAACTGTCGTCGACTCGAAAGAAGAAGCAGAGCCACTACCTTTCCTTTTTGAAAACTGTTCGAAGAGATTATTATCACGACCTTAGCAATGATGTTAAGTTGCTTCTAAAATGAAATGAATGACACATATGGTTCCACGTGATCTTTCACCGGTTATGTAAAATGCCAACGAATTTCGAGCTCCTGTGCAATCATAAAAGTTACTTCCGTATGTTTTTATAAACTGTTTATTTATTTATTTACGTCAAAAACAATTAAAATGTGTGTGACGTGCTATGGGGAGAAGTTAATTTAAAGTTACATATTCGTCCAGAACAAAACAAGGGACCACCTCAGCATTTGCTCAAAAATCAGGGAAACTGGAAGAAAACCTGATCGAGAACAGGGTCATTGACCCAGAAGCTGAAGTACAATACTTGTTACAGGTTCTTTAGAATTATACAATGAAATAGTAAATAATACATTAAATATCATTGTTAAAATTAATATTACTTTCCTTTTGGATGTTTGGTATAGTCTCTAATTGTATTGTAACGTTTCTCGGTAGCGAATTAATACACACACATGTATTTAACACAGAGGTTTATTTGTGAACAATTATACACTAAAATTACTTGATCTATTTACAAATATATTACACAGCCTTTGTGTTCTCCACTTGATTATTTTCCTTACAATTCCGTTCTCAGAGTACACTGCAATCTGATTATTTATTTACACAGTTTACTTCTACACTATTGCAGTCCGAAGCACTGTCCACGGTACACTGCGCTGACCACAATTCACTGCGCCGACCACAATTCACGGCGCAGACCACAATTCACAGCGCAGACCACAATTCACAGCGTAGACCGCAATTCACTGCACAGACCACAATTCACTGCGCAGACCAGGGTTCACTGCACTGCTGTTTAGCACGATGCACACTTCACAGCTCAGCTTCCACTGCAGACTTCAGACTGCTGTTCACTGACTGCACCACTGTTCACCGCAATGCACACTTTACAGCACAGCTTCCTCTTCAGTCACACTGACGGACTGACTGCTTATTTATTGATTACATACTCTAACTGATTCGCGGCTGCTTACTTCCGACTACTACTTACACTGATATACTTACACACACTGACTCACGGCCACCGGCAGCGGCGCATTTATACCTGGCCAGTGCTCGTCTCGACACAACCAGCACTTGCTCCACCTCTCCACGCGACTCGCGAATAGTCCGGAACCGTCCATTTCGGGGGGGGGGCGCCGGCAGATGCCACAATTCGCGCGCAGCGAATTCCGGCAGGTGATGCAATATTCGTTACAGTAATAGAGTGTTTTTGCAGCAAAAATATTTTACTTGGAATAAAATGTTGTATTGAATTTTATCGTTTAATGTCATCTGGCAAGGTGTTGTAAAATAATGTTCATGTATTGTATGTGAATTTTTTGCAGTGAGCTATTGATACTGCCACCTGATGAATATGATTACTACGTTGTAGTTGGATGGAGTGTTGTAGTTACAGACATCGGCGTTTGCTGAAAATATATTTCCGCCCTTAAGTAAGTCATTTTTGACAAACATCACTGATTCATATATCAAGTGACAAGATAATGGTCAAATACCTAAATTAATCTAGGTAATCATCATCAAATAACGAGAGGATTACAAGAATCGCGTGGATGGGATTATTTCATTATTCGTACAATTATGTTTTGTAATCTAAAAGTCTGGGAGCTATAAAATGTATTGGGATCACCCCAGAATAGTATACCATATTTCAGGCGGGAATGAACATTCGCGAAATATACACAACGAGCAGAATGGAGACTGACTAAATTTGAAAGAATTCTGAAAGCGTAGCATAAAGAACTTTTAATGTTCAATCCATTTAAATGGACGTTTCATTTAAGATTTGACTGAATTGAAAGATCTAAAAATTTTGTTACCTTAACTTCAGTCAATGGCACATTGGCCGTTCATTTTCAGTGGAATACAGAGCTGTTTATTTGAAATGGAAATCTGCATTGAAACAGTTTTCTTTTCATTACATCAATTTGTTATTATGGAACCAATTTGAAGCATCTGATATTGTCCTATTTACGATTTCTTTATTGCAAAGAATCGTATCATCCACAAAGAGAACTGTTCTGACGTTTCTAATCGTCGACGGCATATCGTTTACATATAGTAGGAAAAAAATACGGCCTAACATCGATGCCTGCGGGTCTCCAGATGAAATGGGCAAAGAATCGCAAATGTGTGTATAATGTTCCATTATTCTAGAAAGGTATTTCCACTCTCTGAGATCGTACGAACATAACCAATCAAGAGCAATACCATGAATTCCATACGAAGGTAATTTTGAAAGTAAAATGTTATGATCTATGGCGTCAAAAGCTTTTGAAAAATCTAAATATATTCCAATAGGTGTTTCGTTTTGATTCATGGATGAGGCAATATCTTTTGTTTTTGATTTTCGAAACGTTGTTGGCAATCTGGAAATACGTCGTGTTTACTAAGAAAGGTTTCCATTCGTAAGTAAAACTGTCTAAAACTTTTTGAAATAAAAAAAACGCAAAAAGATAAATTGGTCTCTGATTTTGAATATCATTTTCGTTGCCTTTTTTGAAAGGTGTCTTAATCTTAACTGTTTTAAAAATATCTGGAAAAATTCCTTTGCATAAGGATACATTAAATATGTGAGTTAATAGGTGTATAATGACGGGCACACAGGTATTTAACAGACAATCCGGAAATTCATCTAAACGGACCGAATATTTATTTTTTAGTTTACCAATTATTTTGGGAGTTTCATTGGAAGAAGTTTCGGAAACGAATATCGAGCCTAAAACTTTTGGAGAACGTCTAATGCTGATTTTTTTGGCTGAAGACCCTTAGTGAGATCCTTAGTGACCCTGAAGACCCTTAGTGAGATCGGCAGCAATTCTCGAAAAGCATTGGTTAAAGGGACTAGCCACTGTTGCCGGATCGTTCACATTTCTATTGTTATCTTTCTCTACAAAGTTCTTTACATTCTCTACAAGGTTTCTAGTTGATTTGGTCGATTTAGTTAATTTGGTTTTATTATTTGAGTTCAAAATATCCTGATCATGTTTCATGATTTTAACATGCCTTATAACTTCTTAACGATATTTTTTATTAAAGTAGAGGAGGAAATTTTGAGCTACGTTATTATGCAGAGTTTCCCAACTGGCGGAGAAATGACGTCGGAGCTCTGTTTTCCCTTGCGAGCGCCGTCTCGGAGAAGGGGTGCG